GGATCCAGTGGGTCAACTCTTTTGCCGTTGGAGGGATTACTGTGAAATGCTGTGAGTACATGTATTTTTCACAATAGACAGCAGCTCGGCTGCTGCTTCCTATTAGGGGCAAATCCATTCTCCCGGGTGTTACAGCTTTGTCAGGTCTGTTGCTTCATTCTTTATTCAAAGAAGGCTTTCATCATATTTTAGTGAGTCAGGGTCTTGCTGGTGAATCACACTGTTGCTGCCAGTGTGTCAGGGATCACCAAGATCACCCTCACTTCCAGTAATTGCCTATGAGGACTCAATGTATAGTTGTACTCGTGGCTAAGACTTATTACAGCAAAAGAATACTGAGCTAAATCAGTAACAGGGAAAGCCTACTGGGCAAAGTCTGGTGGGAACCAGCAAAAGCTCCCAAGAGTTACTTCCCAATGGAGTCACACAATTTGTCTCTCCAGCAATGAATCATGACAACATGTGTAAAATGTTATCTACCAGGGAAGCTAATTAGAAACTGAGTGCCCCAGGTTTTTACTGGGGACTGGTCACATAGGCACTCTCTGCCTAGCAGGCAACAACATTTCAGATTCCTAGAAGGGAAGCTGGTGTTCAGCATAAAACACATTGCTTGAACAAACAATTTCGGAAGAGTAAACCACTCTTACCAGATGGAGAATGGTGGGAAACCTCCCGAAATCAAGTTCACAGATGCCAGGCAAGGGCCAGTCTTACAAGCTGGCCTTTCTAAGGATAGTCTTTTCAGACCTGCTATATTACCTCTTTTTTTGCACAGAACTCAACTACAAAGGTTTAAAATACATAATCAAATCAGACAGAACCAATGGAAAAAAGTCAGCAACATATAGATGAACTGAATGGCACCATGGACTAATTGGATCTAAGTGACACGTGGAGAAAGCTCCTCATAATGACAGCAGACCGTGTATTCCCTCATGGCTGGTTTTGAGGGGTTCACAGCTCCAGTGGATGAAGTACCTGCTAACATGGTGGAAATAGCAAGAGAACAAGGGTGGAACGTGAAGAGGTGACTCAACTACTGCCATCTCATGATAAAACTTTAACATGTGAGGACTTGCTTTTTACGGATGAATGAAGAAAGTAGTTTCTTGAGATGAAATCTACTCCCAGTGAAGATGCTGTGAACACTGTGGAAATGACAGCAAAGGATGAGTTGATTAGGTAATGGCAGGATTTGAGAGATCTGACTCCAATTTATAAAGGAGTTCTACTGTAGGTAAAATACTATCAAGCAGCATTGCCTCCTACAGAGAAATCGTTCTTGAAAGGAAGAGTACATTAATGGAGCAAATTTCATTGTTGTCTTATTTTAAGAAATTGCCACAGCCCTCCATGTAGTATTAGCTTGTTAAAAAGTAAATAAAAAAGAAAATAAATTGCCACAGCCACCCAACTTTCAGCAACCAGCACCCTGATCAGTCAGCAGCCATGTACATCCAGGCAAGACCCTCTACCAGCACAAAAGTTACAACTCACTGAAGGCTCAGATTATCTTTAGCATGTTTTAGCAATACAGTATTTTCCAATTAAGTTATGTACATTTTTTTGACATAATACTATTGCACAGTTAACAGATTGTAGTGTAGTGTAAACATCACTTTTATTTTATTTTTATTATTATTTAAATTTTTTTTAATTTCAATAGGTTTTTGGGGAACAGGTGGTATTTGGTTACATGAGTAAGTTCTTTAGTGGTGATTTGTGAGATTTTGGTGCACCCATCACCCGAGCAGTATACAATGAACCCAATTTGTAGTCTTTCATCCCTCAGCCTCCTCCCAACCTTTCCTCTGAGTCCTCAAAGTCCATTGTATCATTCTTATGCCTTTGCATCCACATAGCTTAGTTCCCACTTATGAGTGAGAACATACTATGAACATCACTTTTATATACACTAGGAAATAAAAAAATGTGTGTGACTTGCTTTACTGTGGTGGTCTGGAACAGTACATGCAATATCTATGATTTATGCCTGCATAAATTTATGAAGGGGACATGATTTAACATGTAAAAGTCCACCATCTGGCACCTCAAATTCATGTTCTCTCACATCTAAAATACATTCATCTCATCTCAACATCCTCGAAACTCTTAATTCTTTCCAGTATCAACTCTAAATCCCAAATCTCATTCAAATATCATCAAAATCAGGAAAGGGTGAGAGTCAGAGTATGTTGTATTCTGGGGCTAAATTATTTTCATCTGTGAACTTGTGAAAGCAGACAAGACGTTATCTGCTTTCAAAACAGCATGAAGGTGCAGGCATAGGAGAAACACTCCCATTCCAAAATGGAGAAGATGGAAGGAGAGAAGGAGTCATGGGATCCAAGCAAGGTTTCAGACTTTAAGAGATTTTAAGGCTTTAGAATGGTCTTCTTTGGCTTGATGCCGTGTCCTCTGTGCCTAGTAGGGTGGCAGCTCTGCCCTCTTGGCCCTGAGTGTTAGCCCTGCTCCCTTACCCCTGGGCAGAAGCCCTGTTTTCTGAAATTGAGGAGGTGGCTCTGCCATCTGGAGCTCAGGAAGAGGCATCTGGATTCCTGTTCCCCAGGTCATTGCTGTCTGGGCCTATAGAGGCAGTGGCAGCTTGCCAACCTCTGCATCTGTAGCTCTCCCATCAAAGTCACTCTTCCTTTATTTTGTCCCATTTCTGTTCCTTTCATTCCAGGCTGGCTGTGCTTCTTTTGGTATAAAATCCTCAAAACATGTTGGCCTCTGATGCAATTCATGGTGTCCATGCCAACAGTCCCTGGATCCTCCATAGATCTTTCCTGGATAAATGCATCTCCTTCCCTGCATTCTGCTGAGATGGTTGACTGGATCCATGACTCACATACCTCATCTCTTTAGCAATCAGTTGTCCCGCTACACCCTTGGCCCTATTTCCAGAGCTTGCTATCTGGATAGGCTGAGAATCTTCTAAATAATCAAAGGCTGATTCCTTTTTGCTCAGCAATTCTGTCATTGATTTATTTCTCCTCCCTTGCATTTTGCAACCAGCAGCGAGGAGAAACCAGGCCACAACTTCCATACTTTGCTTAGAAATGTTCTTAGCTACATATGCAATTTCATCACTTACAAGTTCTACTCTGCATCTAAGAGAATGCAATCTAGCCAAATTCTCTGCCACTTTCTTACAAGGATTGTGTTTCCACATGTTTCCAATACCGTGTTCCCCATTCCTGTCTGAAAGCTCACCTTCAACATTCATATTTCTAGGAATATTCTGTTCATGATGATGGATGTATTCTCTGAGATGACAGAAACTTTCTCTATAGTTATATAAACACCTCCCCCCCCGCAATGCTAGAAACTCTCCTCCATTTGAATGACCTCCCGTAATGATGCATTCAGAGGAGAGAAGTGATCTGCTGGGAACTCTTAGAGCTTTCCAAACCGGGTCTACCTGTGCTTGCCCTGGCATTCATTCTCTGCCGCCCTTCTGCATACAATTGCTCCTAACTGAAGCCAGCCCCCCACCTCAGCTCAGGATCCCATACCTCCCACTTTCTCAGGGGCTTTGCTCCTGCAATGATCATTCTGTCTCCTGAACCACCAACTGCTCCTTCTAAATGGGATCATTCCCCAACCTAAGGGGGGAACTTACCTCCTTCCCCCATGTCCTTCTATAGCTACTAACATATTTATCTGCTGCCCTTCAAAGTGAAACTGCGTGAACTTATACAACCCACTTCATTGGAGTCATTTTTCAAAATTATATAGAAAGGAAAATGAACCAGAACAGCCAAAACGATTCTGAACTATAACTTTGGGGAACTCACACTACCTAATATCAAGAGTCATGTTAATTCTATAGTAACCAGAACGTGGTACTGGGGAAAAATCAACAGACCAGAATGGAGTCCGGAAATAGGTTCACAGACATGATAAACTTATTTTCAAAAAAGGTGCAAAGGCAATGGAGAAATATTATCTTCCTGAGAAACTGTGTTGTTTTCCCCCTTGCTTCTTGGCCACTACATTCATTGTTCTTTACTACCGTGGGTCCGTTCCCCATGTTTCTCCTTTGCAGTTCAACTGCTCTTCTGTTTAACTGTCTGTCTGCCCCACTACAGTGTGGTGGCCTCCATGGGACATACCACGTGTGGCTCCTTGGTCTTCACATTTCCAGCATCCCAGATATTTCCTGCAACATGGCAGGCACCCGTGCATATATAAATAAAAAAAAAGCGTGTATATATATATAAATAATTTATTTGTCACAAAAGGTCTTTCTGAGACACATCCTCCACTCATGGTGACATGGGACTGTCCCCAGTGTTTCTGGATGCATAAGAATTGTAGGGCAAGAGAGGGAACAAAGCCTCTTAGTCCCTTTCCTTCTACTACAAACATCTTAGGGATGTGAGTCTGGGGACAGTGAGAAAACCCCGGCTGGCCTTGCATGTGCTTGACTCAGTATGCACACCCCTTGCTGCCCAAGTCCCTTGTTGTCCATGTGCCTTGCTGTCTGCCTTGTGTCCCTGCAGAGCTGTGCAAGGAGACATCGTGACTTCCTTCTGTGCTGCTGACTAGGAGTCAGCCGGTAGGTCCGAAGATCAGTCCTCCCAGGGTGGAAGTGGGAGAGAGTGTGAGGAGGAGCCCGCGGCGCAGTCTATGTCCTCCGATTGGGGAAGGTCCTTGAGGTTGCCATTCTTCTCCTAACAGGCGGCGACACAGCCATGGCCTTGGTATCGTGGGTGTCCCAGACAGGGGAGGAAGGAGGGCCATAGAGGGGAGGAGGACCTAGTGAACATGGAGTGAGCTTTGAAGGGGGAAACTATTTGTGGTATTTGAGTCCCGGAGGCATATGAAACCGCCCACAGAAGACACATTCCGAAGTCTTCAGTGGGAACCTGGGAGAGGGCAGAGGACTGCGCGGCGCGGGATGGGGTGGGGCGAGGAGGGGCGCCACAGCCCACTAGGCAGGCACCTTCCTCACTGCGCATGTCCACTGGGCGTCTTCCCCTCTGCACCTTTGCCCATGTGGTGAACGCCCTGGAGCTGTGAGAGTGTGAGGGTCGCGTTCCTGCTGTCTGGACTTTTTCTGTCCTACTGAGACGCAGCCGGTAGGTCCACAAGCCATTCCTCCCAAGAGTTGAAGTGTGAGTGAGTGTGAGGAGGAGCCAGTGGCTATCTGGAGCGTGGGACAGCGTGGTCCACGGCCTCAGAGGTCGAAGGGTCTCAAGGTGCTCGTCCTTCTGCTCGTGAGGTGGCACTGCCGTGGGCCTTGTTGTAGTGAGGTCAGAATGAGGGAAGAAGGTGGGCCGCACAGTTGAGGGGTCAGGTGAAAATGGGGCGAGTGCTGGGGGTGCTGGGGCAGGTATCCGAGTCCCTGGAACCCTCGACCGAGGACAGATTCCAGGCTCCTTTGTGTCGACCCGGGAAGGAGCAGGGTGGGCATTAAGGAAGGGAACTGGGAACGCTGCGGGTTGGCGACCATGGCCCTGAGGTCTGTAGAGCGCCTGGCAGAGGTGTACAGTGAGGAGGGCCCAGCGCTGTGTGGCAGCTTCTCAACTCCACCGTGGAGGTTTGAGTTGGTGGGGCTCTGCGTTCCAACAAAACTTGATTTTAGGGGGGAAATGGGCCTAGCAAATGGGTGTGTGACAAAAGCCGTAGTTACTGCAGTTTTAATTCTCTGGCTGTATTTTCCCAAATGTCTCCACAGAGGAGAGTTAAGTTGTGAAACCAAACCTTATCGGAAATATCCTGTGTCTTTTGCCAGGAGCCTTAAGAAATTGCTCAGTTAGCTTGACCAACTTAATGGCTTCGCAAGCATTCATAAGGCACACACACTTACACTTGCCCTGAGACTTAGTTCGAAAGTATTTACAAACTTTTAAAAAACGACAAGTTAACATTTGGTCATGGAAGTGGTCAAATATAGCTGTCTTTTCAAGTACATTTACCAATTCACAGTATTCTGCTTGCAGTGTGAAATATGATTTGGCGAGGAAGATCAACATATAGGCCTAGACCAAGGAGAAGTGTACCACCTCCTGAGCTGATTGGGCCTATGCAGGTGAGTGCCTTAACCTTTGATGTTTTCTATTAGCAGAAAGTTATTTTTGTAACTTGTTGTTGTTGCAAAACTGTTTTGTAATTGTTGTTGAACCAATATAGATACACCAATAAAGGTGTCCCATGCTGATAGAAATTATCATGGGGGCCTGGCGCGGTGGCTCAAGCCTGTAATCCCAGCACTTTGGGAGGCCGAGACGGGCAGATCACGAGGTCAGGAGATCGAGACCACCCTGGCTAACACGGTGAAATCCCGTCTCTACTAAAAATACAAAAAAAAAAAAAAAAAAAAAATTAGCCGGGCGAGGTGGCGGGCGCCTGTAAACCCAGCTACTCGCGAGGCTGAGGCAGGAGAATGGCGTGAACCGAGGAGGCAGAGCTTGCAGTGAGCTGAGATCCGGCCACTGCACTCCAGCCTGGGCGACAGAGGGAGACTCCGTCTACAAAAAAAAAAAAAAAAAAAAAAAAAAAAAAAAAAAAAAAAAAATTCATGGCATCTCATGAAGGAAAGACGAATCCAAGAGGAGTAAGTTCTCCTGTTGTCTGGGTGGATGATCTTGTGTTCCCCAGATTTTGCCCATGATTTCCTTCTCATGCTTATTTGCAAAAGATTACACACATTCATCCTAACATAGATTAAAACAGCTTCCAAAGCCCTTGAGGGCAACTGTCTTAGAGTAACCTCTCTGTGGGAAGAGTAACTTTATGAAAAATAAGTATGCGGAATAGTGTTGGAGAAATGTCTTTAGACTTATGATCAGAAACATCTATGTATTCTGTATGTTTATATTATTGAAATGTATTGATAACAAAACTTTTTATCTGCACACACACACACACACACACACACACACCCCTCGTTCCAGGAGCCCAGTGATGCGGAGCCTCAGCAAGCGGAACCACTAACTGAAAGTCAGGATTCTACACCTGGTCAGGAGAGAGAAGAAGATCAGGGTGCAGCTGAGATTCAAGGTACTGGGAGGGGAAAGAAAGAATGTCTATGGGGAGGGAAGGAGGCCTATGTGTGCATCATGCCTTATGCCATGACCAGTAACAGGAGGAAAGAAAACATTGGGAAAGGATCTCAAACATTTGCTGAGAGTTGGCTGGACAAGTGAAGAGTATAGTTTGCAGCTTCATAGAGTCCCTGGATATAATGAATCTTCTCCTACCTTTAAAATATATTTTGGGCCGGGCGCGGTGGCTCAAGCCTGTAATCCCAGCACTTTGGGAGGCCAAGACGGGCGGATCACGAGATCAGGAGATCGAGACCATCCTGGCTAACACGGTGAAACCCCGTCTCTACTAAAAAATACAAAAAACTAGCTGGGTGAGGTGGCGGGTGCCTATAGTCCCAGCTACTTGGGAGGCTGAGGCAGGAGAATGGCGTGAACCCGGGAGGCGGAGCTTGCAGTGAGCTGAGATCCGGCCACTGCACTCCAGCCTGGGTGACAGAGCAAGACTCCATCTCAAAAAAAACAAAACAAAACAAAACAAAAAAATATATATATATACACACACATATATATATATATTTTGTATGCTTGAAAATACAGTCCTTGCTAAATCAGATGAAACTGTTTAATTTGATGTACAAAAATGTACATTATTTCACTAGTTTACTTTGATCTTCTTAGAATGTTGTCTGATCTTCTTAGCCGAGGGGTCCACAGTATTGTATGCACCCTTTAATAGCATGTAGAATGCCAAGTCACCCTACCTTGTAACACCCTGAATAAAGCCCATTTGTATAAGGATGTTAGCCCTATTTTGTAAATAAGAAAACTGAGGCTCTGAAATGGAGGCTTACCAAGAACACTTGACTCATGGAGAAGGAATTCATATTTCATTCCAACGTTTATGTTCTCCCTACCATTCACATTAGAAAACGTGAATGATTTTGCTTGAAATGTTAATACTCGAATGTGTCTGTACTGTAAGGTACTTCAGTATTGGCTCAGGACAAAACAAAGTTCAGTGAAGCAGGATAGCAACTCCAGAAAAGACCTCAATGAATGACAGCCACTCTTTCCTTTGCTCTGTATTTTTGACAGTATGTTTGGTAAAATCTGGATAATTCAGGACATTGGCATACAGGTAGCTATATTAGTATGATTTTGAGGGGCTTTTAAAGAGTTGTTTATATACTTTTATAATTAGAAAACTCGAAGCATGATAAGATTATCATGAAACAGAAATTATTTCTTCAACAGATAGCATTTTGAAGTTAAACATTGACAGAATTTGGGTAATGGATTACTTTAGCAATTCACTGTTAAGGGGTTTCCAGAATATGACTGTCAACAATGCCCATTAATTTTTTTTTCACTCAAGTTCCTGTACTCTTGTGGAAGACAGCGATTTTGCTGTTATATTTGTTACTTTTATGTGAATGGGATTCGTTTATGGAAAGTTACATATAGGGCCTTTGAACCTAAGGTTGACTAATTTTAACCAAAAAGTTTCCAAGTTACCTCAACAGGTAATGAGTGTCAGGACTGTAAGATTTGTCATAGGCTCACCAATACATTCATCTAATCTTTCAGAAAATTACGTTTGAGTTATGATTAAAATGCTATCCACTGGGCAGTCTTTAGGTTTCCTAGATAGCTGACACTCACTGTTTATATTACACAATGGTAAAGTATAGGAAATGTAAGTGTGGTGTGATTTTTCCTCAGATTGTCATTTAAGATAAGATTTCATAATACAGGAAAACAAAGGTGGGACATCTTTGCACCACATTTATTACCACAGTCGACTGCAGCCTTTTATTTCCTAACACTGAGGAAAATAATATTATCATTTCCTTATTTATCTTTCTTGTTTGCCTGCTTCAATTGATAACCTTTGTATTTTTTTAAATTATACTTTAAGTTCTAGGATACATGTGCACAACATGCAGTTTTGCTATATATGTATACATGTGCCATGTTGGTGTGCTGCACCCATTAACTTGTCATTTATATTAGGTATATCTCCTAATGCTGTCCCTCTCCCCTCCCCCCACACCACAACAGGCCCCAGTGTGTGATGTTCCCCTTCCTGTGTCAAAGTGTTCTGATTGTTCAATTCCCACCTGTGAGTGAGACCATGCGGTGTTTGGTTTTCTGTTCTTGTGATAGTTTGCTAAGAATGATGGTTTCCAGCTTCATCCATGTCCCTACAAAGAACATGAACTCATCCTTTTTTATGGCTGCATAGTATTCCATGGTGTTTATGTGCCACATTTTCTTAATCCAGTCTATCATTGATGGACATTTGGGTTGGTTACAAGTCTATGCTATTGTGAATAGTGCCACAATAAACATACGTGTGCATGTGTCTTTATAGCAGCATGATTTATAACTCTTTGGGTATATACCCAGTAATGGGATGGCTGGGTCAAATGGTATTTCTAGTTCTAGATCCTTGAGGAATTGCCACACTGTCTTCCACAATGGTCGAACTAGTTTACAGTCCCACCAACAGTGTAAAAGTGTTCCTCTTTCTCCACATCCTCTCCAGCTCCTGTTGTTTCCTGATTTTTAAATAATTGCCATTCTAACTGGTGTGAGATTGTATCTCGTGGTTTTGATTTGCATTTCTCTGATGACCAGTGATGATGAGCATTTTTTCATGTGTCTGTTGGCCGCATAAATGTCTTCTTTTCAGAAGTGTCTGTTCATATCCTTTGTCCACTTTTTGATGGGGTCGTTTTTTTCTTGTAAATTTGTTTGAGTTCTTTGTAGATTCTCGATATTAGCCCTTTGTCAGATGAGTAGATTGCAAAAATGTTCTCCCATTCTGTATGTTTCCTGTTCACTCTGATGGTAGTTTCTTTTGCTGTGCAGAAGCTCTTTAGTTTAATGAGATCCCATTTGTCAATTTTGGCTTTTGTTGCCATTGCTTTTGGTGTTTTAGACATGAAGTCCTTGCCCATGCCTATGTCCTGAATGGTATTGCCTAGGTTTTCTTCTAGGATTTTTATGGTTTTAGGTCTAACATTTAAGTGTTTAATCCAGCTTGAATTAATTTTTGTATAAGGTGTAAGGAAGGGATCTAGTTTCAGCTTTCTACATATGACTAGCCAGTGTTCCCAGCACCATTTATTAAATAGGGAATCCTTTCCCTATTTCTTGTTTTTGTCAGATTTGTCAAATATCAGATGGTTGTAGATGTGTGGTATTATTTCTGAGGGCTCTGTTCTGTTCCATTGGTCTAGATCTCTGTTTTGGTGCCAGTACGATGGTGTTTTGGTTACTGTAGCCTTGTAGTATAGTTTGAAGTCAGGTAGCGTGATGCCTCCAGCTTTGTTCTTTTGGCTTAGGATTGTCTTGGCAATGCGGGCTCTTTTTTGGTTCCATATGCACTTTAAAATAGTTTTTTCCAATTCTGTGAAGAAAGTCATTGGTAGCTTGATGGGGATGGCATTGAATCTGTAAATTACCTTGGGCAGTATGGCCATTTTCACAATATTGATTCTTCCTATCCTTGAGCATGGAATGTTCTTCCATTTGTTTGTGTCCTCTTTTATTTTGTTGAGCAGTTAACCTTTGTATTTTTAAGTGCTTGACCTGGAAGCTGATCTCCAGGAGCAATCTCAGTCAAAGACTGGGGATGAATGCGGAGATGGTCCTGATGACCAGGGGAAGATTCTGCCAAATTCAGAGGAATTTAAAATGCCAGAAGGAGGTATGCTACCCATTAAGATGCAAAATTATGTGCTTTCTGTTTTCCACAATATTTTACTTTTGATAATAAGAGAGAACATTACTACCCCCTTAAAATCAGAGTTCAAATGCAGACTTTCTTTGAAAGGTTGTTCAGACCCCAATTGCCTGACTGCAAGACTTAAACACTATCAGATACAGACACAAATTGGGTCAAAGCCATATTGAATCATCAAATATGAAAGTATATTCTTACTTCTGATTATACCTAACAACTAACAATTTTCAGATTTTTTTCTAATTTCTGATTTTAACAAATACATAATGCATTTGTAATACCAGTTTCTGTGAAATATCCTAGCACCTTAAGCAGATTCTAATACCAACTTTAACATTATTTGTGAGATTCTGGATTAATTCCATAAATTCTACAACCATCTCTGGTTGTAGAACACGGCTGTTATTGAAAATAGTAAATGCAAATCAGATGTATTAACATCTGTTTTAAAGTTGATTTCTGCATCCTCATGTTCTGTTGGATAAAATACAAAGATACGATTTGTTTTTCATAACAATCAGTTTCACTCCAGTTCTAATATCTGAGTTGAGATATCATGGTTCCTAAGAAAATGAGCAGGCAACTTGCTTGATGAAAGTACCTTTTCCACATATTTTCCAAATTGATGACTGTCAATTAGAAGAGCTTCTGAATTTATAGGAAGCTTTCCATGTTTGTGGAAGAAATTACCTAAATGTTTTTACTCTACACTGCTGAACCATTCAATTAGACTATTTACGTTGAAAGATAGTTTTCAATTATTTCCAGGAGCCCATTGAACAAGCCTCAATTGTATTCTTAGGAAGATAGTCTTAAATGAATATCTTGTTAAAATAGATAGAAAATTACACGAGAAAGGAAAATATTACAAAATGAAAATAATAAAGAGCAATAGAATAAATCTAAGGGAAAAGGAAAGAGGTACTTAATAAGAGACAGGTATGAATCATTAGTAAAAGGAAATGTAATCCAAAAGTAATACATTTAAAAGATTGTTCTTTTGAAAAATAGCTATGAATAGAGTAATAATTTGCACACTCTTAAAGAAAATGGAAAAAGCTCAACATGGAATACGAACAAGACCCTAACAGATACTGAATATGTGGTAGAATCGAAAGTGAATACATTCTTGAACTTTAATATTTTCAAAATATGAATGAAGTGATTGATATTCTAGGAACACATACATTAGTTAATATATTACAGTAATACCTGAATATCTAAACATCACAAAGACTGTGGAAAAACTTCTGAAATTTCCCACTTATCCCTCAAAAACACTCAACTTTTAGAAACAAATATTTGGCTTTTCCAGATGTCTTACTGTCCTTTTCCATTTTCCTCTCCCTCCATTTATTTTTTTTGCCCCACTCCTCATGATATATGCCTCTTTCCCATTTTGATGTCAAAAATAATAGTGATAGATTAAACCAAATCTGACCATGTAATTTATTTTACCAATGGAAATATTTTCAAGTTTAAAAAGAGGGACTCTTCATATTGACATCAGGATGATAGGTAAAAATGTTGGACAAAAATGGTTACTGTACCTTAAAGAACACAGGTGGGTAAACTAGCCCCAAGCAACATTTTTGCACTTCTGCACAACAGAGAAAAAACAAATGCAGTACTGGCCTTTCAATTCACTGCACTTACGCAGTTCCTAATGTACATAAACTGTTTCCCAGGAACTTGTTGAACATCCAGAGTATTATTTCAAGGCAAAATATTATATTACATTATACATTGTTTGTAAATTCCTTTTGTTTCTTAGGTTTGTTGTGTGTTGGTTATGTTTTTATTAAAACTGTACACAGTGTTTGCTTTTCACTTTGGGCCACCTTTTAATAGGTTCACTTGATTTAAAGCGTTTTGAAGTTGACAGTTTTGGTTCCCTTGAACTACAGAAAACAAGGTGTTTTAAAAATGTTGCTAATGTATATGCTTGGAAGCCTATCTTCAAAGTCTCTACAGAGGTCTAACTGAATGTTAGCCATTGGGTTACTCTTAGGCTTCTGGTTTTAGTCCATGGTATAAAACCAAAACTTTGGTGTCCTTCATATACCTTTAATGTCATCTGAATACAGTTCTGCTACTAATATTCCCTCCTGTTATGTTTCTATTATAGGTGACAAGCAACCACAGGTTTAAATGAAGACAAGCTGAAACAACACAAACTGTTTCTATCTAAGATATTTGACTTAAAAATATTGAAATAAACTTTTGCGGCTTTCTCCAAATAAGTCTTGCACATTTTTTTGTTCATTTTATTCCCAAATATTTGATACTATTGAAAATGGTGGCCAGGTGTGGTGGCTCAAGCCTGTAATCACAGCACTTTGGGATGCTGAGGCAGGAGGATTTCTTGAGCTCAGGAAACTGACACCAGCTTGGGCAACATAGTGAGACCCCCTCACTGCAAAATAAATGAATGAGTGCATGAATGTATGCATGTATATATGTAGCTTCAGTCCCAGCTACTTCTGAGGCTACATTGAGAGGATCCCTTGAACTCAGGAGGTCGAGGATGTGGGTAGTTATGTTCAGGCCACTGCAACTCCAGCCTGGGTGACAGAGTGATACTGTTTGAAAAAAAAAAAGGAAAAGTATCATTTTTGAAATTTTGTATTCTGATTACACTGGTATACACACTTGTGATATTATGAAATATATAAATAATATTTGGTCCTCTACCCTCTGTACTGGCGTACAACTCTTAATATTTTTAGAATCTCCACAAAGTGATGTCTTTTTGTATGCTAATGAGTTGACTGTTGCCTAGCAGCCCCTAGGTAGCTTTGGGATGGGGGATTAGAGGGCTGGGACTTTCAGTCCCACCCCAAACCTTCAGGAAAGGGAGAAGTGCTGAAGGTTAAGTTGATTACCAATAGCCAGCCAGTGGTTTAATCAGTCACACCTGCATCATGGAAACCTCCATGAAAACCCAAAAGGACAGGGTTCAGAGAGCTTCTGGATAGCCCCGCACACGGAGGACAGCATTTCCACAGGGGGCATGGCTCCCTGCCCCTTAACCCATTCCTTATCCTATGCATCTCTTTAACTGGATCCTTTCTAATATCCTGTTTAAATCAACCCATAAATGTATATGTTTCACTGAGTCGTGAGATGCTTTAGTAAATTAATTGAACTTGAGTAGGAGTCATGGGAAATTCAGTTTATAGCTGGTGGGTCAGAAACACGGTAAAACAATTTAGGGCTCGTGGCAATTGGCAGGGTCCTCTTGCGGGACTGAGCCCTCAACCTATGCAATCTGATGCTATCTCCAGGTAGATCCTATTGGAGTTGAATGAGAGGATACCCAGCTGGTGTATGCCGCAAAACTGTTTGCTTGCTTGGTGTGTGGAGAAAAGCCCCCACATATCTGGTCACAGAAGTCTTTGATGTTACTGGTTGTAGGGCAAGAACAGAGAAAACACTTTTTTCTTCCATTCAACCAACAGGTATCATGTTTGTATATTGTTTTTCTATGCAGTAAACTTGCTAAATATCCTTATTCTAAATTTATCTCTAGATCCTTTCTGATTTTCAACACACACAATCATATCATCTTTGAATAATAACAGCTTGTTTTTGACATTTCAAACAGTATCCTTTTTCCTTTTTCCTATTCTACGACATTGGACAGGCCCACCCAATACAATGCTGATTAGAACCAGTAATTGTGGCCATTTTTCTCATATGCCTAGTAGGCACTGGAAATTTTTTTTTTTAACATCTTACCATGCTTGCTGTGCTTTTAAAAATAGATCTATTTTATTAGAATAGGAAGCTCCATTCTATTTTCCATTTGTTAAGACTATTTATCTTGAATATATGTTGAGTTTCATGAAGCACTTGTAATGCATCCATGTAGATGATTACAGGACTTTTTCCTTTATTAATCTGTTAACATTGTGAATTACATTGGTAAGTTGCTATGTTTTAAACCAACGTTGCATTCCTAGGGGGAACATTGGGTCATGACACATTATCCTTTTTGACGAATCTATGTATTACTAATTTGTTTAGGATTTGTATGTGTGTTCTCAGAAGTGACATTAGCCTATATTCTTATTTTATGTAGAGATGCTCCTCAAGTTATCATAGAATTATGTCCCAATAAATCGATCATATATTGAAAATTTTGTAAGTTGAAAATGCATTCAGTACACCTAACTTAGCAAACATCATAGCTTAGCTTAGCCTACCTTAAACGTACCCAGCATACTTACATTAGCCTACGGTTGTGCAAAATCATCTAACACAAAGTCTATTTTATCATAACTTTGAATATCTCATGTAATTTATTGAATACTATCCTGGAAGTGAAAAATATAATGGCTATATGGTTATTCGAAGTACTGTTTCCACTGAACGCATTTCTTTTATCTGCCATCATAAAGCCAAATACTTTTAAGCGGAGGCATCGTAAGTCGTGGCTGTCTGTATTCTCTTTGTTGGACTTTGGTATCTAGGTTACACTAGCTTCATGAAATGAATTGGGATATAAGTCCTCTTTCTTTCTTTTCTTTCTTTTTTTTTTTTGAGACGGAATCTCGCTCTGTCGCCCGGGCTGGAATGCAGTGGCGCGATCTCGGCTCACTGCAAGCTCCGCCTCCTGGGTATAAGTCCTCTTTCTATTCTCTGGAACTGAAATCTCTGCAAGACTGAATAACTTGGGGATAGGCTTTGCCATGTTCTTTTGTTTCTAGATTGAATCTCCTTTTTACCTTTGGACCCTACTTAAAGACGGAAGGACCAGATCTAGGTTCCTATGCCTTTGAACTTTATAAGGTGGCCATCTTTCCTCCAATGATCCCTCTAATGATGCTGTCACTCTGAGAACTACCTGCTCCTTTTTTTTTGTACTGATATTAACCCCTGTACACAGAAAGTTAAAAGTTGCCATTCTATTAATTTGCCTACGTAAGATTTTTAAGAGATGGGTTCTTGCTATGTTGCCCAAGCTGATCTTGAACTCCTGGGCTCAAGTGATCATCCCTCCTTGGCCTCCAAATGTCCTGGGATAACAGGTGAGAGCCACCATGCCGGGCCTGCCTACATGATTTTGATCTGTGGTATGTGATTGTGAATGGGTTGACTAACCAAAGCTGTGTATAGTTACAACAATAGCTCCATTTATTGAGTTCTTTAAGAAAAACAGGAATAATAATAACTTGCATTTATGGAGTATGTGTTATCCATTAGCCACTTCTCTGAGCTACGTTTCGTTTTTTTCTGACCTCATTTAATCCTTTAAAAAGGTGAGTCAGAGTTTTCATAAAATTTACAATAAATGACTCTAGTAAAAAGCAGATATGGGGATTCAAGTTCTAAGTTCACAGTCTGCGCTTTCTCAAAGCAAATGCTTCTGACAGCGTTGAATGTAGAACTGGTGTTGCATATACTGACTTCAGTGGTAATCTCATTTTTATATAAATCTGTGGTAATATATAAAATATATATTTTTTTCATTGTTCAAGATAAAAGGCTTTGTTCTTTTCTTGAAGGAAGTGTTTCCCAAAATATGGCACGTAGAGCTAACAGGCGTTTTGAGATGAAACCATTGGTACAAAAACATTTAAAAAAGTAATGATAACATACCTATTTTACGGTGCTACAGAACAATATAACTTGAATACTAAAGTCTTTTGGAATAATTTGTGGGAACACGGAGAGAAGAACTGATGCCTCAATCCCTATGGAAAATGCCACGACATCTCCTGCAAACACATTTGACCTTTCTTTAAAAGTTATTAAGAGCCAGGGAGGGAGAAGCACCAAACCTCATTTTTTTTTTTTTGAAAAGTGCATACATTTATTTAATATAAGTTTTACATAGGGAAAGGAAAACACAAAGAAACAGGAAAACTTGTGTATATTTATTCTAGGTTTGATGGAGAAGTGGATAGTGATGGAAAAGTATGTTGGATAAAAATGCATGATCTGATGATAGTTAATTGGGGAGAACTCAGCTATGCCTGTTTGTTCAGATTGCTGTCAATGACCTTGTGTTTCTAGAGATATACAGATGTCCATTTCCTCTGGGCATAGAGACAGCACCTGTCAAATGAGGGTTTTATGACCTGCTTCAGGAGAGAAGAATTGGGGGAAGGTGAGAGTTACCTTCCTGTTTCTGCTGTTTTCTAAATACCCCCATATTCTGGGGTAGTGTGTCCTGAACCCCATCACTCAAAAGTTACCACTGGTTTTATATCTCTGTATGATATATTCCAAGCTTTTCAACATGACATACAAAATTTCCTCTCTTTCCCACCCTCCTGTGATCTTTCTAGTTTCAATCACCACCACTTTCCACCTTTCATTTTGCATTCTATTGTCAAGGACTGCTCATACTTCTCATCCACGCACAATGCTATTTTATTCCTCCCTCTCTGTATATATATTGTCTTCTCTGCCTAGAATGTGCTTACCCCTCTTTCTTTACTTGAGTAACTCCCATTTACTCTCCCTTACTCTGCTCAGGTCTTATCTTCTCTATGAAGCCGCCTTTAATGTACTTGGACTGCTAAGCTTTCTCTTTTGTATTTCTAAAAGAAATCCTGCTTCCCACTTTAAATCATTTTTATTTATTTTATTTAATTTTTAATTTTTAAAATTATACTTTAAGTTCTAGGGTACATGTGCACAACGTGCAGGTTTGTTTCATATGTATACATGTGCCATGTTGGTGTGCTGCACCCATTAACTTGTCATTTACATTAGGTATATCTCCTAATGCTATCCCTCCCCCCTACCCCCTCCCCACAATAGGACCCAGTGTGTGATGATCCCCTTCCTTGTGTCCAAGTGATCTCATTGTTCAATTCCCACCTATGAGTGAGAACATGCGGTATTTGGTTTTCTGTTCTTGCGATAGTTTGCTGAGAATGACAGTTTCCAGCTGCACCCATGTCCCTACAAAGGACACGAACTCATCCTTTTTTATGGCTGCATAGTATTCCATAGTGTATATGTGCCACATTTTCTTAATCCAGTCTGTCACTGATGGACATTTGGGTTGATTCCAAGTCTTTGCTATTGTGAATAGTGCCACAATAAACATACGTGTGCATGTGTCTTTATAGCAGTATGACTTATAATCCTTTGGGTATATCCCCAGTAATGGGATGGCTGGGTCAAATGGTATTTCTAGTTCTAGATCCTTGAAGAATAGTTCTGGGATACACGTGCAGAATGTGCAGATTTGTTATGTAGGTGTACATGTGCCATGTGGTTTGCT